ATTTTTATTTAGGAATGTACTTTGACATATGAATGTACATAAGAAAATGTACCCTTAGATATGAAATATAAACATGGCACTTACATATTGGTGGAATGCAGCTTCACTTTGAAAATATTTAAATGTGATAAATAGCAATTAGACTTCACTCAAAAATTCTAACCTAAAAAAAATACTCATGGAGAAAAAATATTTTAAAAGTCATAACATGATAATGTAGATCTTTCTTCCATGGTCTAAAAGTACTCTAAAATATTAGTACATATAAATAAAAAGTTTTAAAATATAAATATATTTTATTGAAATATTTCATGTAGGAAAAAAATTCTGATATTTTAATATGGTGGCTTTTTTCATCAGCCATGCACCAAACTCTCAGGGTGAGAAAAGGGCCAGACCAGCACTGAAAGGTTTCAAATATCAAACTATACTATTATGTCAGTGCTAAGATCAATTAGCACCTTTCAATGACAGAAAAGGTTACAGTGAGACTCAGAGGTACTCTCTGAAAGTGTCTTAAACCACCACACAAATGTGATTTTGATGGCTCAAAAAAACACTATTTTAAATTAATCAGTTTCATCTCCCTTTCTGGAAGAAGGAAAAGAGGGGAGCAAGGATAGTGATATATTCTTTCAGTATCTCTTTACTAGTAAACACATGGATGGGGAAAGGATAAGAATCACACACTTCACAATAAACAACCTATCACCAAGGCATACACTAATGTGCGCCACAAGCAATATTAAGTGACTGTAATGTTTACAAAGTCTTCAAACCTCTTAAAAGCAATCAAAGTTGCTTGTTCTCCTTTTGAATATGCGGCTCTTATTTATTTTCTTCCACTCAAGTTCAAAATAAATGATACCCGCATTGCCTCCATGTACAATTTAATGAACATGCAATGCCCCCCTTATAGTAAAACACATCTAACTGAAAAATTTGATGCATGTACTACAATAAAATACACCTTTGCATCTCACCCATCTGGAGGGCAAATGCCTGAAAGAGTACATTGGTTCTTAGTTCACCAGGAAAAATTCATGAGAAGCAGGTACACTGCACTGCTATCCATTCCCCCTGGTGTTGATTTCCTTCACCTAGTAACCACTGTAATAAAATCCCCCAACTGTAATTTCTGAATACAATTAGTTTAAGATACTCTACTGAGAGACACATTATAAGAATGTAGTATATGTAAGGATAATATCCATTTGAAAAAGAAACTGTCAGGATTATAGTCACACTGAAATAATAACAAGGTGTTTGACAGAGGTTTGTTCAGCTCCTCAATGAGAGGATTCAAATCCTCTCCTGCTTTTGATAGCACACTTTTCTATTTATTTCTTAAATGAGTGACCTGAAATATTTACAACCAGACAGTACCTAATTTTAGGTTTTAAGTGCTTTAACAGCTCCATGAAATATGATCAGCAGCTGCAATACTGAACTATGGTGAATAAACTCCTTATAAAGGGGGCCTGTTTTTACTGAATGTTTAGTGTTCTTGCATTTACTTAAATAAGAAAAAAAAAAAGATAATGAAAAACATAATAAATACTTACATTCTTAAATTACTTAACACTTCACTAATTCTCAAAAGGGATTATCTCCCCTCTTCTTGAATTCTTGAATAAAAAAATTAAAAAAAAAACATAAGGTTCCACTGGGCGAAATAAGTTCAATTTTACTATCTGAAAGTCAGAATGTAAATTTTCCAACATCCTAACTTTTTATATAAAGAGTTTTATGTTTTCTACCACTTTACCTTTCTAAAAACTCTAGATAATCTGATTCCTGTGCATGAAATTTTAAAAATGAAATAACAAGCCCCATAAATATATTTTTAGACACGACATCAGTCATTGAGAGTTTTGCAACAGAGACTGAAAACATGAAACTGGACACTCTATTTCCCGTGGCTATGTAAAATTTATTTACACCCCAAATCACAATATAAATAAAAGGAAACAGAAATGGGAGAATCTGTTTTTCTTTTCTTTTTTAACTCAAAGGAAGTTTATAAAAAGAAAAAAATTAATTATTGCAAAATGACAAACCATTCTTCTGCCAGTCACTCTTTGAAAAAAACTTTTATGAAAAAGCAACATCTTTTAATCCAGCTTCTAGAATTCTTCTAGAATCCAGCATGTGTATTTCTCGATAAGATTAATGACTTTCTTTAAGACAATTTTTAAAAATTTTTTAGATGTTGAGGGGCCTTTATTTTGTTCATTTATTTATATGTGGTGCTGAGAATCGAACCCAGTGCCTCACCCATGCTAGGCAAACGCTCTTACCACTGAGCCACAATCCCAGCTCAGACAATTTATTTGTATACAGATCTTAGGGATTTTTAATTTTTAAACTTGAACATATTACTTATACTAAATATTACGTAGGAAAACATACTTGTATAAAACTTCATTTTGGAAATGAGAATTTGACTATCTAATTTTCAAGAAAATTAATAGTAATAAAAAGGTAAGAATTGAATAACATCATTTTACTTTAGTTATAATGTGAAACATCTTCTAAATATGATGGCCTTAAAAACGTTAGTAAGTGTGCTTAAAATAAGCATACTTATTTTCAGGCAATTTATAAAGGAAAACAGACTTTTAAAAGCCAAATTGATTTTAAACCTTCCTTTATTAGAAAAGACAAGGACACATCCCTAGTAATGAGAGAGAGAGAAAAAAAAAAGAGTTTCCAGCTAATCTAATTATATTACTTTCAAAGCTATTACTGTCAAAAGTTTTAACATTCTCCTACAGACATTTTTTTTAAATAGTTTTACTTTGAAAGACTTACAACTTTTAATCAGATGGAACAAAGTGTATGGTATATAATAAAAGTGGGTGTAGTTATATGTGCATTTGGTATAATCGCCATAAAACTCAGATTCTGTAAATCTCGCTCCACGCAAAACAGTTTGTTTTTTTGTTACTACTGATTTTTATTTGGGGGGATAATCTTATTTTTAAAAATACACAAATGTCTTTGAATGCAATCTTAAAATACACCATACCACATATCAGATATTTTGTTTCAGGAGTCTCTCCCCACCCCTTTCCCTAGTTTTTGGTTCTTCAGGTCTCAGCTTGCCAAAAACATTTTAAGACAAATGATTAAAAAGATGATGTTTCTGATTAAAACCAAGTTCTACCAGGGAAAAGATAACAAGCACAATTCTGGTGTTGAGGAGATCTTAAAAATAAAATTAAAAAAAAAAAACACCCAACAAACAAAAATAAAAAGGCTTCCTCAACTTTCAATCCTGTCATTCACCAACGTGTAAATGAAACTTCAGAAGCTGTCGATGGGAGCCCGCGGTTGTTAACCGCTCGGAAGACTCCCACCTAAATCCCGCAGGAGCCGCACTGAAACTGACAAACGCCCGAGGGTGCAAAAAGCGGCCGCTGATGAGAAGAGGAACAAAACACCATATTCGAGAAGATACATTTCGCTCCAACATTACGTTGATCCCGGGGTGCCAAGCCAAAAGGGGTAAGGGAGAAAGAAAACTGTTAAGTATGAGCTCTTAATGTGAAACCTAACCTGCTGGTTCTCTTAGGTATCAGATTTTGGAAGTGTCTGTAATGACAGCCAGGAAAGCAAATTAATGGCCAACGGCCCACTGGGTTTGAACACGAGACTCCTGTTACCTCCTCGCAGATCAAGTACATAACACACGCGCACACGGAGGTGCTCCACGTGGAACTGTCTGAAACCAAAACACACGCCCGGGAACTATTTGCACCTTGGCAGAAAGGACCAAGGGACCCGTACCTTCCTCTGCTGCCCTCAGGTTAAAATTCATGAATGACTCTGCCCGCTCAGCAGTGGCACGGAGAGGTGCAGGGGGGCGACAGAAGAGCGGACAGTCCCCAAAACACACCCTCCCGCACACGCTGTCCCCCAAAGCGCAAACCCCATTAGCCTTCAAGGGGAAGCGGAAAGAGGGATGGGGGCGCAGGGAGACAATACCATCCATCCCAACAAGGGAAGAGATGAAAAAAGTAAACTGCCCTCTAGTTTCTCCAACGCTTGGCTTCGAAGCTTGATCCGCAAATTTCCCTAACCGCTCCGCGCTGCTCAGAATCTTATATACAAAGGAAAGAAAATCTACCAAGCTGAAATGCGGGTTGCTGTGTGGCGCCGAATAAAACAAGCGCGCACACTGTCTACCTCCAAATCCCGCTTCACCAAGCGAAAAAAGAAAAAAAGAAACCTTTCAAGACCAGCAGCCTCCCCAGACCCAGTAGGCTTTGAAAGGAGAGCAAACCCGCTCTCCTCAGTCAGGTCCCTTCTCTTGGAGAAGTTATAATCCCTCCACGGCATCTGTGTCCCGAGCCAATGAACGCGACTCCTCTGACTAGGCGCCTCTAATTTCACGGACCCTGGCAAACTACAGAAGACACTCAGTCCACGCCACATAAAAACTATTAACGTGGTATCGGCGCAGTTTTAAGCCCGGTGAGTGCCTGAAAATTAGAGCACAATCACTGAATCTACACAAGTACCCCGTCTCGTGAAAACCCAGGCTCCTGGGCCATCTAGGGGGTCATTACAAAGTAATACAGGTCACAGGATGGATGTTGGGGAGACCCTGGTGCGCACTTTTCTGTGAGGCGGGGGCGGGGTGCAGGTAGGAGCGGTGCACCCTATGGCAGACTTAGCTGCGGCGAACCGGGTTCCACGCCGGTAGCGCTGCGTCCTGCAGCAGGCAGCGGGCTCCAAGGGGACCCTTTGGGATTCGGGTCTTCTGCTCCGCAAGAGCGCACCACCGCAGTTAAAGCGGCCTGGCCTCTCCCGCAGAAGACACCCAGCCTTCGAGTGCCCCAGGAGCTCAGGAGCCCACACACTGCTCGGCTGCGAGTCTTCTGTCTTCAGCGCATTGCAGTCGTGCGCACTTTTTAGGGAAGAGTTTGGGGGCTTCTCCAAATATGGACCCTCGCAGGCTGTAGGGCTAAGGTTGGATGAAGAGGTATACTCACCTCCCGTCGCCCGGATCGCCTCGGGATCCCGAAGTCCAAGTGTCTGCCCCAGCCGCGGATCCTCCCGTCCGTGTTTAGGTATTTATTCTCGTTCCTTCCAATGTCTAAGTTTCCCCTTCGCGTCGTGTCTCTGGTGAAAACAGGACATCCCCTTCGTCCACCCCCAAAAAAACAGCCTACACAAGTCGGGGGAAAGCCAGGCGGTGGGGAGAAGCCGGCTCCGAGGTGGGGAGTAGGAGAGGGGAAGAGCCAAAACTCTGGACTGACGACAGGGGGAAAAGTAGAAGAAAAGAAAAGGAGCGCGCGCCCCGCAGCCGCAGTCGTCACTCCCCAGCTTTTCCCCGAAGCTCCTTCCCCCTCTCTAAGGGAGCGACAACTTCAAGTGAACTGGATGGAAGTTTTGCGCGGAAGCCGGGAGCGGCCCGAGCGTGCGCCGCGCGGCGGGCAGCCTCGCACTTGCGCGCGGAGTTGGAGGCGGGGGGTGGGGGGGACGTCGCAGCCAGCGATTTCAGGCTCGGGTGGCCACTGGGGGCCTCGCGGCAGGCCGCTGGGCGCGCGGGGACCTTGGCTTGAGCGGGACCGATTCTTTTATATTCGACCTGGGGAGACTGCCTGCTGTCATCCTTTGCGGTTTCGCGTGGGGTCCGCTCGGGGCCTTGTGGCCCTGGGCGTCCCCGGTGGCGCCGTGGTAATCTCCGCGCCCTCTGCGCCGCCCCACCCCGCCCCCACCCGGCCTGCCCCGGGCTGTTGCAGCCTCTAGACTGAGGGGAGGGACCCGCGGCCTCTCTCCCCTCCCTGGGAGAAGGAATCACTGTCTGTCCCCACCTGCTTCTGCGGGGCAGTTCGTGGACTTGCCTGTATCCCTCCTGCAAACCGGCTCCAGGGTGTAGGCCACTGCGGGCTCCCTGCCCTGTCTCCGTGCCACTCACCCCAAGGGAGAAGACAGAAGGGACTTCTCCTCCTTGCAACAACGCAAAATAAAAGCCAACGCTCACCAGATTTGGTAGCTTTCACTGTCTGAAGATAATAAACTTTTCTGTGGAGATGTATGCTGTGAAGGAGTAAGCATTGTGCAGATCGGCTGGGGTGGAAAGGGCCTGGGCCCCCTCCAGCGCTGGGTGCAGGTATAGGCATCCCTCCCAGACGCTCAAAGGTCAGGCAACTAAGACTGAATTCCAAGGCAGCGTCAGAGCTTCCTCAGGCACATTGCTGAAATGACATTTCGTGCCTAAGCCTTCTGCGTATGCATTAGGTACCTACATAGGATTTAAGACTCTCTATATACACATACAAATAACATAATCGGGCCTACAGCAAAGTAAATCCATATATTTCATGTCCACTTAATCATCTCTGTCTAAAACCTATTATTTATTTCAGCAGCATCTTCTTTGTCACATTGATAATGATAAATGAGAATTTACTGTGGTCATTGTGTTGGTCGCTTATGGGACATGTGAGTGCATTTAGTTTTCACAACAACTCTACAGTTGTCTTTGTTATTAAGCTTATGTAAAAGATGAGGAAACCAAAACCCAAAGAAACCTACGTAACTTTCCCTGAAACCAACACAGTGGTCTCTACACCACAAAGCCCATGATTCAACAGTGGCCATGCACATTGCCTAATTCATAAAAATTACTCCCAATCAGGTAGCTGGAGATGTATCTCAGAGCCCTTGTATAACATGCACACTGCCCTGGGTTTGAGCCTCAGCATTGCCAAAAAAATAGAAGAAGGAGGAGAAGAAGGAGAAAAAAAGAAATGACTCCCAAAGAAAATTTAGTTTTAACATTGTATAACCTAAATTTTAACATTTTGTCTACTAACTTGTAAATTATACTGTGAAAATTTTCAGAAAAATATTTCATTCTCTTCTTCAACTTGGTTACATGCAACTGAAATGAGGACCGCCAAAAATAAAATCAATACTGAACACTTGTAGTTACAATTTAGTTTTTAATGAGTGGGACATTGTCTACAATAATTAAGAGGCAATGGAAAAGCTTGGGTTATAAATTTTAACTGATAAAGACACTCCTTGCTGCTTTCATCACTTACTGGGTGTTCTTTCCTGCTCATTTATTTTGGAGGGTGCAGGCACTGCCAGGCATAATGTTTCCTTTTCTGGTTCTCAAGGTAGAAAGCACTCTGGCAGTGGGTTGGAGCAAAGAGGAATTGGAATATAGTCCAGAGCACATTCTGGCCTAAAGAGGAGTACCAGTTAATATACACTTAAAGAGAAAATGTCAATGGGCAGACTTAATTAATTTTACAGATCTCATTTTATCCATTTTACATGTGAGATTTTTGGCAGGCTGACCTTGCTTAGAAGGTTACTTTGCTCTCTCATAGTGTTTTATAAATCTATAATAAAATGCATTTAGAAAAGATATCAAAAAATTATATGAATATTATGCCATCCAAATATGACATATTCGTCATCCAAAACCTTTTAGTACCTTCTAATAATCTCAAATAATATAAGTAACATGGATATTGCTAGGAGTGAAATAAAATATATTTTCAATTCACATTTGAAAAAAAAAAGGTTGAAATTAGAAATCAAGCAATTTTAAGGTTGTTAAGCAAAAACATATCGTTTGTTTAAATAAAGCATGATTTCTAGTATTTCTATTGAATACCACTTGCTTTTTCACCTTTAATATTTTTAACTTAATAGATACATTTAACCTATTTCATTAAATAAGTTTATCTGAAAAAGGAAACTTTTTATCATCACCACAAAAGGAAATCCAGTATTATTTACCATGAGTAGTAATGACCTTGGAAATGAATATATATTGTGGAAACAACAGTTATTTTCCCTGTTTCACCTAAAATTACCTCACACACCAATTTGAAAAACATTGGTTTGTAGAGTTACAATCCATGTGTCCCCTCAGGCTTTGGAGAGAAATGTTGAATCCAAGTTACTTCTGTGCTTATTCAATCATTGATGTCCTTGCTTAAAATATATCTGAAGTCTCTGAAGTTGAAGTGTCTTTTAAATTAACATATTAAATTGTTTTTCTTACTTGTGGAAAAACGTAAACAATTTATAAGTACAAAGCTAAAAAGCAAATTACTCTGATAAAAGATTGTGCTAGTTACCCATCCCTTCATCCATTCTTTCCTTCCCTTTCCCTCTGCATATTAGGCTTTTACCACTGACTCTCAACCCCATGATAGCAACATCTATTGGCCCAATATGGTACTGCAACAAAGTTCTATAAGGCAATGAAGAATAATGGGAGAAACTCAAAGAGCTTGAAAAAAAAATTTGGGAAATTCTAAACTCAAAAACCTACTACCAAATTCTGAAAAAAATTTCCAAAATACTAGTAGATCCTACATGGTGTAAATTTAACTTAGAATATCTACAAATGTTCAACTCAATCTGAGAACAGACATTTGAGACAGTGTAGGAATATGTGACTTTAGTGAAAATCAGTGGAAAAATAAGTTCCACTGTGAGCTATTCCCTTAACTCACTCCTCTGGGGTACAATGCCTCTGCCAATATCATTTACTATTTGTTTATTTTTCAAATATTTATGGCACTGTTTTGGCATTTAGTTTTGTTTAACTCAAATTAAACAAAACGCTCTAAGAGCTCATAATCCAAAACATAATTTTACTTTAATTTCATTTAAAAGCAAACTTAAGGAAAAAAATAGTACTATCACTTTAGTAAGAACAGATTTTTTAGGCTAAGAAGTGGAATAAGACACTATATTTACAAAAAAAAAAATTAACAGAGGACTGGAAATTTGGAGAAATAATCCCAAAGTGAATCTCTTGAGCACCCTTTTAGCGTACCTTTGAACTTCAGCTGGAAGCATGCACAATTCCTAAAAAATACAGTTATTCAGTTGTTTCTTAGTGAGTCCTAAGCCAAACCCTTTGAGCTTTAGAAGAATGAAGTTTTAAAGACCAGCCTCAATAAGAACAAGGTTGATCACTGTCTACTCTATCAATGACAGACTCTGAGAACAAATGAAGATAAACAGAAATCTAAACTCCTGAGCTGCTGGTTTTCTAAAACCTGTAAATAAACACACATTTAAGGTAAATTCATGCAGAGAAATCAAACTTGAGAAAGTTCCTAATAGTGTGTTAGAGGGAAGAAGTGAGACCTATCTATTATGCTAGTTACCCATCTATTGGGTCATTCTCTTCTGATGGACTCTGAAACTTTCTCATTCTTGGCAAAGTGTCTAAAGAAAGACAACTGCACATTTTCTGGAGACATTTTCTTTGTATTTACTTTTAAATTCTCTCTTCAAAGTTTTTCTCAAGTTAAATCCTTCTAGTAACATATTATTCAGTTCCAGTTTATCTTCCATGTTTACACCCAACCTTTGGATGTTTATAAACAGATATCATGCCCACTTTTAGTCATCTGTTTGCCATGTTAAACAAATGTAAGACCTTTTAATCTTGTTGCAGTTTAGTATCCCAAAGCCCTTAATCATTCTTATTGCTTGTCTCTGCACTATTTCCAATTTCCTAGATGTTTAATTCATTTTTGTTAGGGACATCCCACATCAAATTCCAGGTGTGGTCTCATTAGCATACTAGAATGTATCATACTTTTTTTTTTTTCCTTTTCTGGCATTACGTTTTGGCTGCCCTTCAAGTTCCCACCAACTCATGCTACTTTTAAATTCTAACAAACTTACATGTAATTTGCTTCTTTATTTTCACTGCACACAGTGTTTCTCTTGGCATACTATGCCAATCCTGATTTCTGAAGTACACCAATTACACATTTTGTCCCTTTGATTTTATTGGTTTATAACCATCTACATTTCAAAATAGAAAAATTTCACTTAATATCTTTTTAATACAACCCTTTTTATGTATCCTTATGATGTCTTCCTGCTCATGAATTTCCACTGATTATAATTTGAAAATCCTTAAGTATATAATCCAATGGTTGGTAGAAGAAGAAATTAAATTTTATAGAGGGAAAATAAACTGACCGACAACTTTGAAGTAATTATTTGACATTAGTAACTCTAGTATCTAATGTATAAAATCTTAAAGTTAGGAAGACTACTAAATTGCAACAATCTATGCTGAATACTTTTGAATGAAAATATTATAATATGATATTATTAGAAACTGACAAAAACTTTGTATTATTCCTTTCACTATATTTAATAGCACAAATACTTAG